CTTTCCTTTCCTTTCCTTTCCTTTCCTTTCCTTTCCTTTCCTTTCCTTTCCTTTCCTTTCCTCTCCTCTCCTCTCCTCTCCTCTCCTCTCCTCTCCTCTCCTTTCCTTTCCTTTCCTTCCCTCCCCTCCCCTCCCCTCCAAGTGAGATACCTATTTTTCCCAATTTTCTAAAGGTAGGAGTGAATGGCTCAAAGTTAGCCACTCAATTTCTGTGATTAAATGACATTAACCAACATTTAACCACTACAGCACATTGGTTGATATACTCCCACTTTCCAAACCTTCAGATGAGTTATAAGAAATATCCTGGAAGTATCTAGCATAGGTCTATTGTGTAAAAACAAAGCCAGCATCTCCCTCATTTTGCCATGGCAATTTTTCTCCCTTACATCTAACTGGCAAATGTTCTGTACAGCTGACATCTTCAATTACAGAAAGACCATTCAGATAAAATGTCATGGAGAACTCTGAGCAAAAAAAAAAAAAGCCAGGAAATGGCATAGAAAATGTGCAGCAGAATTCCAAATCAGAACTGATGCATGAAAATATTTCCAGTAGCAGCCAGTAATTAATCCAAAGTCTTCAGTGTAGCTGTTACAGGTCAGCTGTTGATTAAATCCATTTCAACACAGCATTGATCCATGGCAAATTCACTGTAGAATAGTCCAAGTCAAAAATCTGTAACCAGATAAATAAAAATTTCCCCAGGCTTGAGCGATGGATTTGAATGATGTGCTAAATATCTAGAGAGGGTGGCAAATCAGAAGTCAAAGCAAGTAGAAGAAATGCTTTCAAAAGGGCTGGAAATAAGCCTACAGAATCAAGTAAATGTATTGTCCAGATAGAGTGATGCCCATTAGTAGATACAGGGCAAGCCAGAAATGCAGCCAAGGCAATCCAAGACAGGTGCCTGTACTTTTAGTTACTGTACAGAAGGGAAAACAAATGTGAAAGATATGACTTCTTTTGCTCCTAAGCTTTTTCTTGCCTCTTTTATAGAGCCAGGAATGTTGCCGGAGGCCCATCACTTTTATATGTGATCCTGAAGTTATCTGGAAGTGCAAGTGAACTATGAATGGCAGTAATATTGATTCTGTTTTTCAACAATTGTTTTAGCAAAGACAATCCTATACTAGGGCAGTGTGGTAGTTAAGATGCTGGGCTTGTCACCTGGAAAGCTAGCAGCCCATGTTTGAGATCCAAGCCCCATGTGACGGGGTGAGCTCCCACCCTCGCTCCAGCTCCTGCCCACCTAGCAGTTTGATAGCATGCAAATGCGAGTAGATAAATAGGTACCACTTCAGAGGGAAGGTAAAGCACTCCATGACATGATGCTGGTCACACGATCAAGGAAATGTCTTGGGACAGTGCTAGCTTAAGTGGCCTTGAAACAGAGAAGAGGACCACTCCCTTTATATTTTATAAAACATTAACTAATTAAAATGTCAATTTTCTCATTTATTTTATTTCACTTATTTTATTAACAAACATTTCACTAAATTACACTAACTATTTTATCCCTCATTTTAATTATACATTGTTTCCAATTTTCTAAAGTTATTTCTATTACTAATATAAGAATACAATCTTATGTACCTTTACAGAATCCCTCCGAAACCAGCCGGCTTGGGGTGCTCTAGCGGCGAGCCCAGACTGAAACCGCACAGAATCGCAGATTTCTGTCTGTTGCTGAAGGAACTCAAACCGGAAGGCAGAAGAGGACCACTCCCTAAAGTCAGCAATGACTAGTGAAGTAAAATCTGCAGGGACTCCTTTGGCTTTTTACTTCCCAATCCTTTACTAATATTAGTAACTGACACTTCATTTGCATTCAAGGTGGGGTGTTGGAGAAGGGAAGAAAAGTCAACAGAAAAGGTCAGAAGGTCAAATGGTTGGGAATTCTGATTATCGTATGCATAGGAGGGCAGAGTAGTAGGTTGGAAAAGATAGCAGTTCTGGCTTTCCTCAAGTGGAGAGCAAAGCAACTTGGTTCCTAGGAACAGAATGCTTTCTCATCCTTAGAATAAAACACAGAAGCTCTAACACAATTTCTGAATTGCGACTAGTGCCTAAGATTTTGCTCAACAAGCCTTAGAAATTCTGTATACATTTATCTTGAAGTCTCACTGAAAATAGGGGGACAATTTCAAAGCAAGCAGGCATCTGATTATGCTAAACAAGAGAGAGAGAAAAACAGAAAATGTATGCGTGGTTGAAAGTCTCTTTTACGCACAAAGCAAAAATCATTTTGAATGCAGCCAAGTATCAGCACCAACATTTGCTCTAAATTTTCAGACAGACGAAAGAGACATCACTCCATTTTTCTTACGTTTGGTAAGACGAAGGATATTTCACACACCCAAGGCATAATGTAAAAACTTATTCCAGCGATCATTCAGCCAAATCTTGTGATCAAAATGCAGACTGGAGGGCAGGAGCATTGAGATGAAGACACAGACTCCATTTTCAAGCACTGCCAGAGGATACTACAGAATAGGCTTCAGCGTGGAGCACAGTTGAGAAAAGCATCAAAATTTTGCTCCCTGCTATTTTTTTTGCGCTTCTGCCAGAAATTCCTGCAAAGCACATTTCATCTACCAAACCCAAGTATTATTATGGGCATTTTGCGACACTGAGCTGCAACATTACTATATGAACATTCCTTTGGTGTGTGTGTGTGTGTGTGTGTGTGTGTGTAAAATCAGTGTATTAGAATGTCAGTTACTTTTGTCACTGTATCATTCTCTGAACCTAGGTATTATCTCTAGAGTTGAATCCTGGGCCTGAAGCTATAAAATTCCATCAAATTTTAATCAAAGGGTAATAGTACATTTGCCTGCAGTTTCATTTGGATGGATATGAACATCAATTCCAATTTCTAAAAAAAAAAAAAAATTAAGCTAGCCCATACTGTAATGTGTTGGAAACTGAAGTCCCATTATCACTAATCTGCGCAACCAATGGCTCTTATAATCCAAAACATCTGGAAAGTACCAGCTGTTTTGGGGAGAAAAACCTACTATCTCAAGAATTCAAAACAGTTTAGTCTCACTCTACTGTTAGCTTTTTATTACCTTTCACCTTGCCAAGAAGAAACAATTATCCTGAGCCCAGAGGTGTTCAAAAGGGAGATAATAAATTATTGGCTTTTAAATTATTTTTATATTTCATAGCATTTTATAAGACAATTTATATACTCTAGTGACGGAATGCTGGGCAAATAGAATATTGGAAGCCAGCTTTTTGATATATTACCTATCTTGTGTTATCTCTTTCTTCCATTTCTGAGCTATGCTACTGAAGAAATATCCTGTTTTATATTTTTCTCCTATGCTGTTTAAAATTTATAGAATTGAAAAATGGAAGAAAGACAGGGAGTATGTTCCAACAAGCAAGGGGCCAAGCCACTCCTTTTCTCACAAGTTGGTTGCAAAATCTAGTGCACAATGATAAATTGTATTTAATAACCCCCTTTAAGAGCCTTTTCATTTCTCAAATCCCCCGTTTTTAGGTTGGTTCACACAAATGTTTGCTTCATGTTTACTGTTGGATTCACTCATACCATATCTCTCTCTATTTGGTGTGATTTAAAAATATTTCTGATGACCAGTCATAAGTGTCTTCTCTTTTACTAGCTTCTTCATTTTCTGACTTTTCCCAGGTAAAAACTGAATTTAAAAGCTAACTTTGTGACATTCCACATGGCATCTGAAGACCATTTTGTATCCTTTTCTTCAATGCATTTTTCTTTTCAGCAAGCTATTCTTTTTCAGGAAAGGGAGCATATTAGAATCATTGTTTTTCAAGATGCTACAATTAATAATCTTTTGACTTTAATCTCTAAGGGGAGAGCACTAGATATCATCCAGAAGCAAGTGGAACCAAGGTCACAGGGCAAATTCAGGACAAAACAATATTCTTGTTGATATATTATATTGTAAGCAGAGTGTAGTTAGATAAGTTTGCTAAGAAGAGATTTTTCTACATTATTATCAAAGGAATCTATAACTAAATAAACTTCTGTTACTGGGAGGAGAAACATAAGGGCAGATTCTGCCATTCTCCATATTGTCTGAAACAGGAAGTGAAAACGTTTCCTAGCTCGTTGTCCATGGCTGGAAAACCTACCTTAAAGATAGATTACCTTTGATATAAAAATAAAAGCAAGGGATTAATAAAGAGTAGCTATTTTTCAAGAAGAATGAAGTCAAATAACAATTGAAGAATCATGATAAAAATCTTGCACATTTTAAAATTCTAGGTGATTTATTTTTTCAAAGTTTCACATGTCCCGAAAGAGCTCTGTTAAAAATAAGTCAAGTTTAATACCAAAAAAATACTGGTGTTTTTTTTTTTGTAAAAAACCTGCAGTATTTGAAAAACAGCTTTTGCAATGTTTGACTTTGGAATTAGCTAAGACATAGCATCAGCAACATAACTCATAGCCCACACTCCCTGTCTCTTAAAAGGAGGATGTCATTGCTGTGAATACTGGAATAAAAAAGGGAAGGGAAAGATTAATATCATCTGGTCATTTTTAATTACAAGCACAACTAGGATTATCTTCTAAAGTGAAAAGATATTTTCTATATACTTCAATCTCTATATTAGTCTTTATACATTTCCTTCAGAACAGAAATATTTGGCATTTGTTCATAAAACTATTTCTTTTATTTTCAACCCTCATCTTTGTATATGCACATACATACAAACAGAATCTTTTCTCAGATTAATTCCAGTTTCACTGTTGTAATTTAATGAATCTTGGAATTATAATTGAATGAGATATTATAGAGAGAAATCCAGGACCTTTCACAGATCTATAATTCTAAAATTCCTTTGAAAAGGACACTTTTGTTAACAAAGTAGCAGTTTGTCTGACAGTTTTTATAATAGTCCCAATTGTGTTTTTGCTCTTGAAAAAACAGCAAAGAACATTTTTAATATAAACATTGATGATCAAATACCTTTATTCAAACAATTATTAGAGAGAGAGTGTTTTGAAGATAATCAGGAAGGCTATGTCATCCTTATAAGGCTGACTTCCATGGAAATATGTAAAGAAGTCAGTCTTCTGACAATCTAGACCAACTCTAATCATTTCTAGCCAATATTGTTATAATGGTAACCCAAAATATCTAATATACAGCTTTGGGCTATACAAAGGGGAAAAAAATCCAAATTACATGATCTTGAAACAACCCAACGCAATTCAGTAAGCATCCAAAGTTTATTTGTTTATTAAATTTCTATCCTGCCCCTCTCACTGATACAGCAACTCTGGGTGGTTGACAATACGATAAAAAGTAAGAAGGTATTAGAAAACAAATAAAATTAGAAAAATTAAGCAGCAAAGCTAAAATCCAAGATGGGTGGCCTGGAGTTGGGGATCTTCTCTCTACCCCATCAATCATCCCCAATATAGCGCATCCTGATTGTGGCCGCAGGCCAGTTGGAAGAGCCAAGTTTTTCAGGTTCTTCCAGAAGGTCAATAGTGTGGGGGCAGGCCTCATTTTCAGTGGGAGAATATTCTAGAAAGCCACAGCAGAAAAGACTTTTCCCCTGAACCCTGCCAGCCAAAAATCCTTTGGCAGATGGGATCCAAAGTAGGCCGCTTCTGCTGGAACACGTGTAGTAGGCTAGTCCCATCAGGGTGAGATGGTTCCTCAGATAGACTATATTGTCCTTAGTTGTCTTGTGGGCATGGTGCGTTCATTACTCAACAAAGCAACCCTAAGAAGGACAAACAACAAGGCTTCTACTTTTTCATCAAGAGGAGTTGAAAGAAACAAAGTTTTACCTTCTGCAAATAAAGCACAGTTCCTTTAAGGACAGCATAAAAGGTTTTCCATCCTCTCTTTCCTCGTGGAGCTAGGAAAACAACACAAACACACACAAAAAATATGCTTAAAATATTGTAGTTGTTATATAAATAATGTGCTCTTGTGGTTACGAAGTCTTTCTCAGTCCCCCTTTTCTTCTAAAAACTATTTTTGATTTAAAAAAACCAATAGAAACTAATATTTTTTGGGGGGAGAGATATTTAAAAAAGAAAACATGTAGAAAAAAGCAAAACAAATATTATTAAACATCATAAAAAAGTATTTTTTTAAAAAAAGAAGAGTATTGTAGGAGAAGCATAGTCCAAAGAAGCATCAGTACACAATAGGGACTTGATATTTGTCCCTTCCAGAAAGAAAAGAAATTAATATTCTTTTTTTTCCCTCTTTTCCTATATTTACCAGCCCTGTATTCACTGAGCTTCCTGCTACAAAAGTGTTCGCGGTGAACAGAAACATGTAAAAAATGAAGCAATGGAAAAGCTTTTCAGCCTATTTCAGGATTTGAGGGGAGGGTCAGGGTCTAGTCAGTAGTGGTTTATTTTGCCTCCTTCCTAGGATTGAGAGGGAAGGATGGCCAAGGTCCCTTACTTAGCTGGCTTTGTGCCTAAGCAGAGGAACTAGAATTCCTGGTTTGGGGCCTAATATTTAAATCAGGGGTCACCAACTGTGGCCTGGTACTCAGCTGCGACCTGTTCAGAACTGGGCCGCACACGCAGCTCCACTTGCGCGTGCAACTGCCACTCTCACGGAACCATCCCCTCTCCTCCCACCCTCGCTGCTCCACCAAGCCAGAAAGGTTGGGGATGGCTGCCTTAACCCCTGCACCAAACTGGCTCTCCCGGGCTTGAACTCAGAAGAAGAGCAACCTCCTCCTTTGAGCTCCGTCCCAGAGAAGCCTTCCCGCATATCTGTGACAAGCGAAATGACTGGAGGGGAACGGCAAAGCCCAGCAAAGGAGGAAGAACATGCAGCCGTGGGCTGATTCAACCTCTATTTCTTGGAGAAATTCTCAGGTGGGCTGCTGGAGCTTTTTCTCCCCTTAACCTTCCTAAATATTTGCACAGCTTTTCCCTCTGGGCTGCCAGATTCCCAGTTACTCTTCTAGTAGCGCCTTTTATTTACATTCCCAGTAGCAAGCAAAGAGGTCCAAACAATTGCGCATATTCAAGTTTCTGTATTGACCACTTCCCTCCCTCCTTCCTCGTGATCTCTTTTCCTTGAAAGAGTAGCTCCCTCTGAAAGACACTCACTCTTCTTTCCATCCATATCAGCATGGATTTTACGTGCCAGGAATCCGGTTTTGTACACAGCAGCATTGGGATCATGAGGAATATCCAGGAAAGGGTTGCTGGAATTGCCGATGCGACTGACAGATTTGTTTCCATTATCCTTCTCATCGGTGCCATCAGAAGGGGATTTCTTCTTCTCTTCGTCATCTCTAAAGCAAAGTCAAACATACGCTTCATATTCGCCGATGCTCGTTTTATTTTACTAATCAGATGAAGCAAAGGTGCATATTTTGTTTTAATTGCCTTTATTGACTGAGTAGCTGGAAAGCCTGATTTCGTGCTAGGGCCTGTGGTTCTAAAATGAGCAGAGACATTTCGTGTACATCTTATATTAAACCGCAAGCTATCTCATTAATTTCAGTGGGATGGTTTAGATTTATCTTTGGGGATAGGAAGCGGGACAGAAACCTTGGTATACCATTCTCATTTCAAGCCTTGGTGGAATCACCTTCAGCAACAAGGTGGTTTGTATTGAGGCTTTTGTGCATTTTAATGTGCTAGTTCAAGAGTTTTATATTTTAAATTACAGGGGGTGGGATGAGGACCTTGCAGTTCCTGATTTTCTGGCAAGAGCAGCTTGCAACAGCTGGACATTGTTGATCAAGGTTCAAAAAGACTTGGCAAAGACTCGTGTAATTGAGCCCTGGAGCTTCAAAGTATGGAAAATTGCCATCCTGCCCAGTGGATAAACTGTTCTGACCTACTGTCCCTATTGTACGTCAAAGTCCTTCAGCCTTTCCTATTGTCCTTTTCCTCTTATTGCCAGTAACAAGGAAATAGCCAGCCCTTCAAACCTAGATCAGATCAGAAAACAGGACTGGAATTATATTTTATTGAGATAGGCCTTAGTAACAGAACCTTGCAAGTTTGTCTACCTCTCGCCTTCCTTCTTCTTTGTACTCCAGGAGTTTTATGTCTGAGACGTTATAACACTCTCCTGTCTCTCTAAACATAAGATATTCCTTCTGCACCTGAAGGGCTTTGAATTCCTTCTCCAAGGTCATCTCCCTGGCTTCCTAACACAAATTAGTTCAGTGATTCTCAGACTTTTTCTTCTTCACCATGGGCCCCCTTTTAGTACCTTTTGTGGCCACAGACTCCCAAAACCTAACTCAAGATTTAAATCACAGCAGTTCTTCAAGCTTTCATGGACCCCCTGTGATGACACCATGCCCCCCCCCCCCGGGGTCCACAGACTACAGGTTGAGATTCAGTGCCTTAGTTCGTATTTATCATTACTCACTACTTCTTGGAAGGCAACTTTCTCCGATTCAAAGTTTGGCTATTGCTCCATTTTGCTCCATATAACCTGCAGATACTAGAATCTATTAAGCCCGTACGGTTTAATCTAATAAAAAGCAACCAGATATTTCCTCAGCCTTTGTTATACTCATGAACCTGTAATCAGCAAATTATATAGTAAGCTTCTCTAACCTAATGCCCTGCATGTTTACTGAGAGTACAATCCAAGTATTTAGTATACTGGATCCCAGAGTCTAGCATCCAGCTAGATCCCACCACTTAGCATACTACAATCCCTACACAACCAGTGGCACCAAGATGAAAGAATGTGCTGCAGATTGAAATGGGGAAATTGTACATTTGTTTTGCCTCTGAACTATGACTCCCTCTGCGCACCCTGTCCCACTATAACATGCACACACTGCTACCACCGCATGCAGCTTTGACGCAGCTGTGCAAAGCAAGATGGGCATTTTATCCCTTCCTCTCTGCTGAAATCTGTCACAGTCCAGGCGTGAATTAATGGAAATGATCTCTGCTTTATTTTTGGAACGTACCCTCGGATACAGATCATCTGTCAGTATCCTCAGACGGAAGGGTTCTAAATCAACACCCAGCCATGCAATAATTCCTCTGCATCTTAACTTTTCTTTCAAAACTAAAACCAAGGAACAGCTACTTACTTCAACATTCTATCAGCTTACACTTATTTTTTTTTCCCCCCAACCACTTGCCCTCAATCAAGAAAGGCAGTTTTGTTCTTTAAATGTTAAGATGTCCATAAATTATGCTGAACAGAAGGCAATTGGGCTTGTTTTTCCTTGAAGTCATTTCGCTTCTCATCTAAGAAGCTTCTTCAGTTTTGACTAAAACTTTTTGGATGAGAAGCGAAATGCCTTCAAGGAAAAACAAAGTCCAGTTGCCTTTTGAAAAGGCAACCAGGACCGAGAATTTCCATAGACATGCAGAACAGAACCAAGTAATTTTATGAGTGTCATAAACCTATACAATCTCAGTCTCCTCCACAGCTTTCCATGGAAATCTTCAGATATTGCTTAAATTTCAATTCCCCTAAAGGCACGTCCAAGTTTCATTGATAGGCCAACTACAGCAGTACTGAGCTAGCAGAAAAGTGGCTCTTTCCATTACTCATTACTGCTGTTCTATAAAGGAGAACCACAAAAAAGCTATGCAGCCAGAATAGCGTTTTTGTGGTTCTCCTTTGTAGAACAGCAATAGTGAATAATGGAAGGAGGCACTCTCCTGCTAGTTTGTTACTAAGCTGCATTTAGATGATCACCAAATTTTATCTGTCATCTTCTACTAGTTATCCAGCATAATATGCTCTGTTTTCTGTCCTACCATAAGATATTCTACAACAGTTTCCTGACTTCTTTCCTTTTTCTGATAATTCAGGTAAGTATTTCTAACACTCTACCAGTTTTCTTCTTCTTAATGCTTTCCTGCAAGTCTTCTTGCTTTTTGAATATCAACTATCATTGGTTGTAACCAGAATTGATCGAATAGCTTGTAGTCTGAACCTGACATGGGCTAAGAGAGAATGACTGACCCAAATCACCTTGCTTTCATGCCTAAAACGGGACTAGGTCTCACAGTCTTCTGTTTTCTAGCCTGGTGCCTTAACCAACAGACCAAAGTGGCTCACTTTATAATATCACCAGTATCCAAAAATAGCTGAAGCTCTGTTAGATGGTGTTACGATGAACCAAAGAATGCTTGTCCTTAATAAACTAATAAACCTCTTGGAAGGGTCACTCAGCTTCATCAGCCAACCGAGAGGAAGTAGTGGCAAAAAAGAGTGAAACAAAAAGTTAAATACCTAGATTAATCATGGAGAATGGACAGGGCTCAGCCACCAAAGTATGTCAGCTAATTGCAATACCAGAGAAATGCTATATTGTCAAGAGCATCAGGTGATATTGGCAATTGGATTATGTGATCAATAGTTATCTGTATCTAAAGAGCAATGTAACTGTATTCACCCTATACTATTTATGTTTATAAATTACATTAGTCATGACTCTGGACAGCATATAAATTGAAACAGCATTAATTATAGTAAAAAGCCGAAAGAAGGTGAAACTCCAGAAACTAAATCTTTAATAAAATTCCCTCCAGGGCAGATAGCAGATATTACAGGTCGTCCTTGACTTACAGCCATTTGTTTAGTGACCGTTTAAAGTTACAATGGCACTGAAAAAAAAGTGATTTATCACTCTTTTTCACACTGGCCCTGTGATCAAAATTTGGATGCCCGGCAACTGGTTCATATTTATGACAGTTGCAGTGTTCCAGGGTCACTTGATCATCTTTTCTGACAAGCAAAGTCAACAGGAAAGCCAGATTCACTGTACAACTGTGATATTAACACAATAACTACACTGATTCCCTAAACAACTAATGGCAAGAAAGGTTGTAAAATGGGGCAAAACTCACAGTAACAACTGTCCTGCTTAGCAGTTTGTATTTTGCTTGTTAACCGAGGGTTACCTGTAAATAAATGTTAGATTTTAGAGGTTCCCTCTCCTGAACTGCTGGATTAGGGTTTTGGCCACAGTTGTGGTCATAAGTCAAGGACTAACTGCAGAAGGACCCCATCTTCAAGACCAATATAAAGGATGGCAATTCCGACCTCTGGGGGGATGTTGTTCCATAAGGCAGGGCAGGCCCTGCTACAGAGAAGGTAAGCTGCCCAGGTCCCACCAGAAGACCCTGTTTTAAAGAACAGGCCTGGAACATGCCTACTTCACCAATACTTACTGTATGGGCAGAAACAACGGGAAAAGGACAATCAGTCACATAATCAGACCTTATGCCAAGAACATCTTAATAGATTACAACCAGCATTGCCACTCAGTTCAGTTCATGTAGCAGAATTGTTAACATGTCCTATTGAGGTGCACCTATAACTGCTTGCATTGCCATATTCTGTGCCAGCTGTAACTTGCAAGTGGTCATCAAGAGCTGCCCTATGTAAACCATATTGCATTAGTCCACATATGAAGTAACTAAGGTATGAGGGGTTATGAGAAGGGATTCCCAGTACCAGGAATCACACAACTGGAGTTCTAGACACAACTGGCCAAAGGGCTCCTAGGCATAGCTACTGCCTGTTATAAAAGCAAAAGCTGTGAGTCCCAAATTACACATCAATTCGGTCTAAGGTAGTAATACTCCATTCAGAACTAAATCTAGAAGAGCAGTTGAACTGGAGAACCAGAACCAGAAAGCTATGCCGCCTTGTCCTGATTAAGCCTTAGGCTTCCCATTCAGACTCTGACAGTCTTCAAGTACTGGGACAATCATTTCTCCAGCCCGGGATTGAGATGTACAAAATAGATATTAGCACCACATATACAGTAGCTCAGTGGCACTCCACAAATCCAACTCAACCCTCCAACTCAACCTCTACTTGTTGACAATACCAACTGAAACCATCCCTGGAGGAAGAAGGAGAACAACTACTGCATGCTTCTCTCACTCCCCGATTCCAACAGACCGTTGAGAAGGATACCATGATCAATGATCAACAATGCATCTCAAAGCTGCTGGGAGATCAAGGAAAACCAGATCAGTTATATCACTATGATACAAATGCTACCATCAGTTATCAGCAAGTAGGATCAATACTGGTTGCATAATAAGTCCCATTCTGAAACTCAACTGAAGGAAGTTCAGATAATCCACTTCATCTCTGTTCCTCTGAAGTTGCAATCTGAACACCTTCTCAAACATCTTCCCTAAAATGGGAGGGTTAAAGACTGGATGAAAATTTTCTAGGACTGTTACTCTAGTGATCTATTCATTCAAGGATATATTCACCACCACATGAACTCTGTCACATGTCCCCTTCAGGCAACCTTAACTAACCAGGAAAAAAATGAAT